AATGTGTGTGTGTGTGTGTGTGTGTGTGTGTGTGTGTGTGTGTGTGTGTGTGTTCAGGCATAGACAAGTGGTCTGCGAGGACAGTCGAGGTGTTATCAACGGCATCTGTCAGATTAGGTGTGAATTGTCCTTCTATGGTGAATCTTCCTTTGATGTGGATATGGTCTTTCACATTTGGCCATCTTTTGTTGTTGGAAGTGGCCGTCCTGCTGTGGGGGCCTTTTTCAGTGCCGATTGTGATTTCCAGTCCAGGGGTTCGGCCGGCGTTCCCCCTTGCTCGTGGCACCATGTCACCCCCTCTTCCTCAATCACACCCAAATGCAAACAGTCTCTCATTTACACTCAGAAAAACATCATTATTTGCAGTCACTCATTCCAAAACTTCACCCGAATCATCTATAACCATGAAAGGCCGCACTGAAACAAAAGCAAGTATTTCATCACTGTATGAAAAACCGCAATACAGCAATATGAAAGCCTATACTGTGAATGAAAATCCCTTCAGTTATGATTATGTTTTTGTTTAGATTACACAGTGGCGGACCCTCAGGGCCAGCAAGGCCTTCTCTGCTGGCCAAAACATTCTCAGAAAAGTAAATTTACTTTTCAGAGAATAACATTAATTTGTTATTTTATTTTCATAAATATGTAAACAAAATTATTCTCTGTATTCTTTATGTCATATCATTTCCACTTCGTAAATAACTTATTTATTATGGTAGAGTTTTTAACCAATCATATTTCAGCTAGCTTGTGTTGCCAGGTAAATTAAACTTGCTCGGGGCCTTCAGATTAAACAGTGCAGGCCCCTGTGCGCTGTAAGTGAACGGGCACAGTCAGGTTTCAATAGCCAATCAGATCACGAGTGATCTGACTCATCTGCATACCAGGGCTAGCTAGAAGGCCTTACGTCGAGACTGGCCGTGCGCGTTCGGTGATTGGATTAGCGCCTTTTCTGTTTCCTGAGAATTGTATGCTGACTTGTTCAATAAAGATTTAAAAAACAAACAAAAAAAAGATTGGATTAGCGCCTGCTAGAGCTATCACTCGCATTTTAACCCAAAATGGCCGAAGGAGAAGACGTTGATCTGGTTGCAGAACTACTTTCCACACAATTTTCAAGACGGGCCTTCCACGAAAATGTGGATATTGTGCAAAGAGGTCGCCCAACTCCTGCGTTAGCTACCCTGTCCCAGCAAGGAAAAGGGTTTGTCCGTCATTTTCAGACGAGCAATTATGAACGGTACCCGTGGCTCACAGTCTCTGAGAAAAGCTGCAAATTGTACTGCTGGGAATGCCTTTTGCTTGCAACTGACCGGTGCGTTTAAAAACGTTTGGGGACACTCGCGTAGATCTGCAGCTCAGTGAACAGGCACGCCGGGAGAAGGAGGTCCACAACGAAAAAGTAAAAAAAAAAATAAAAATAGGGAAATTAAAATTATACCAGAAACACGACCGGACAAAAACGGCTTTCAGCATTAGCTTCCATGTCGATAGAAAAGGACTTGCTAATGGACCTGAAAACTGTACAACAGAGCCACTGAACTGTTCCTGAGAAAAGGAAGGAGGATCGACTTTATTTTCAAACAAGCAGACGCTGTGA